CCCCAAAACCCCAAAACCCCAAAACCCCTTTGATAAAATAAGAAATTGACTTCAAAATTATTTAACATTCTACCTATTCCTATAAAAATGTAGCTACTGCTGGCTTTCAAATGATTAAGAGCCAATAGAGGATTTTAGCTAGAAGACCCGTGAAAAGATTTATAGGATTAAAGATTTATTCTCTAAATTTTTAATGTTACCATCCGAAAAAGGACTTCTTCTGTTGCTGATTAAGTTGCTTAGCTCTTTCCAAGAAGTTCATAGAGGCATCTTTGAGCTGCTGTGTCTTTTCGCCTAATTCATCAATCTGATCTCCTCTCTCATTTAGTGCCTGGATGTTCATCTGTAGCTGAGCCTTAACTTCATCGGCTTGATTCTGTGCTTGCGAAGTTTGTGTAGTAGAAGCCACTTTATGTTCCTCCTTAGTGTCAAGGCCAAGTTTCTTTTTGTTTTGTTCTTCAAGCTTTTCAGCTATTTTCTTCTTCTCCTCCTTCTCTAGCTCAGAGTGATGATCTTCCTGCAAGAGATGGGTGATGCAGTCTCTTGGACCAGAGTCATGACCAGAGAATGTATGCTTCGCTTTCTTGAACAACTTCTTAATAAAATTGGACTTATTTGAAATCTGGGTGATTTTATTTATCCTTAATAGCCTTGGCTTCTAGCCAGAAGGAAGTGGAGAGGTGGAGATTTGAGGGAGTTGGAGGGTGAAGTGTGTAGAGTGAGGTGTCTGTGAGCAGAAGGTAGCCTATTGAGGCTGGATGGAGGGGTCCAAGGAAGTGGATTTGGGAGCAGGAAATTTTAGGGTGAATTTGGGTTTTTAAGGTGGGAGTGAGCGTTTTAGAGTTTTGTAGGCTGATTTGGATGATTTGGAGTAGTGGAATGGGCTTGGATGGGATTTTTATACCCAGGACGGTCAAGGTGTTATTTTGGAAGCTTATGAATTTTATGTGATTTTGTCTTATGGAAACACCCTTGAGGTTATAAGTCTCTTTCTCAAATGTCTTGTGACAATATAAATGTATTTCTTTTCTTCAAACAAGTACAGATCAATCAAATTCTGCGCAATAATTAGCTTTAATCGCATATTTAACTTGCGTATCATATATCTGTTGAGTGAATCTATTACCTTCATGTGTCTCAATCAATCATTCAATTATGACTCCTTCATTGCCATATATAACAACTTTCAGACCTTTCTGGACCTTCTGAATATCAATATCTCTGACTGAGGTCTCCATTAAGTCTTTGTCAAGTACATTTTTCTTGAAAATTCCCTGATTTCGGAGGAAATCTTGAAGACTTTCTCCAGAGAAACTCTTAAAAACACCGAAAATCAGAATATTTCCAGAAGAATCTACTGCTCAGCATCAGACACTATCGGATCCTTTCATGGTGAAGTATTTCTGGGCTCTGAACTTGACCCCTTCAGGGAGTTTACAGGTGTTCTTGATCACTAGATCAGTTTCCTCCCACCCAAGTTCTAAGATGGTGCTCTCTGTTGTAAGGAACTGACCTTCTCAGTGGATTATTTTAGAAGTTCAAGGTAGCTTTTGGAAGAGGCTCACAGATTTATAATCATATGAGTATAACTCTATTTCTACATATTTAGAGAGAGAAATTACCTGATTCAGTGCTTAAGGCGAGCAGCGAAAGACCTTCCTTGCCTGGCAACTTAACTCTATGAATAGTATGAGGATCTGCTTGTCATAATTTTGATATAGTTCACTGTCTTTCAGTCATTTCAGGGTTATTTATAGATATTCATAGGGACATTTTCTACATTCAGAGGGTCTATTCTGTGATTATACACTTGTATTTCAGCTATCCCATTTGTCTGAGAGTAGAAAAGGCTGTTGAAACATTCAATAAATTCAATCTTTCCAATATCTTTCTCCTTAACTTCTATCTGGTGAGCTAGCTCATTTAAATCATCTTTGCTGTTGAGCTTCCAAGTGGGACTAAGAAGTCAAAAGAACGGCTTATGTAAAAGTATTTTAGACTCCATTGCTAGTTTAGAGGCTTCATTCTCCTCTACATCTTTACCAATCTCGAAGTGTTGTTGAGTAAGCTGAGTATAATTTTGCACACTCAATTCGGATTCAATGTTGTCAATATGCTCGACTTGCTTGCCAGAAACTGATATGAATCAATTATGGCCTGTCTTTGAGTACAATTCTTTGCTAGATTTATTCTTCCAGTAAGGATGCACTTTCAAGAAGTTTACAGACTCAGGACTAACTTGTTTGACTACTTCTCATTTATCAGCCCATTTAGAAGTCTTCTTTGAGATCTTAAAAATCAAAATATGTCCGCTGAGGACAGAGACTAAGATGTATTTCCCATCAATGCAAATGCTGGTATCGCTAATGATAGGCTTTGTCATGTCACCATCTCCGTCAATATTCTCTCTGAATACCTCTGGGATGTCAAAGGCATGAAGGACTTCTTTCTTGGTGAGATCATAAAGAACCACTAGGTTATTTCTGTAGGCTACCAAAAGTCTTGCATTGCTTGAAATATCACTCTTAATTAATACAACTCCGTTATCGCTCTTGATCTCAGAATCTTTGTGCATCATTGGAGCGAAGATAGGGCTTTGGGAGATGTTCTTTACCTTTGTTCTTAGAGGCATAAGCTCTTCTATTACATCTGAGTAGTCCACTCTTAGACTAAAGAAAGTCCCACTCACAGGATCGTAGAAAGAGATACATCCAACTGTATTACCGAGCATTATCAACTCTGAGTTCTCAGTTGCTGCACTGCAAGTTATTGCAAAAGGATAAGGAACTTTGACTTCTCTCTTCACCGATATCTTGGGAGTTAAAGAATAAGTGACAATTTTGTTCTGATACCCATTGATGAAACAAAGGATAATCTCATTATTTTGGTTGAGTTTTCTTTCTTCATCTGATCCTTTCTCTTCTTCCTCTTCTCGTCGATTGTTCCAAGTCCCTCAACAAAAGTGGAGGTTATAGTAAATATCATGAGAGTTATTGGGGTCTAATGCATACTCAATCTCTTCTGAATGAAACTTGTTTGAGAAATACTCAATTTTTGTATGCTTTATCATATCATAAATCTGTAGGTCACCGTAAAGATCGATCATTGCAATTAATTGGTGACTCTCTCAGACAGAGACACATAATGCGTCTGGAAGAACACCCTGAATAGATAGTTGCTTAAGTTGGTCCTGTGGGAACTTGTCTATATCCAAAATAGGGCTACTTTTTTCTTTCTTTTTATACATATTACTCCTATTATCTCAATAATTTTACATTTATTTGGGGTTTTGGGGTTTTGGGGTTTTGGGGTTTTGGGGTTTTGGGG